AAGAGGTGTCCTGTCCAAAGAGGTGAAGTTTCTTAGGCTGCTGTGTTCATTTTTGTTGCTGTGAGTGCCACCTTGGTTGTAGGTAGTTTTCTTCTGGCAATCTGTGGCCGCTGTGGGATAGGTAAGTACGATACATTGCTGGAGCCATCTGAGATTTTGTCTTAATTCTAAAGGCACACCCCCCCAAAAAAAAACCCCAAACCAACCACAAACAAACTGGTCTCTGCAGTTTTCTGATCCTGATTTCTGCTCCTACAGCCATCCTGCTCTAGCCATGCTTCTGTCTTCCCTGCCCACCACTGACCTGTGGGAAGCCTACTCCTGGGCTTCTTTCTGCCTTCCTGCTGGTCTCTCAAAATGTCTTCTAGCCACAGTCTTCAGACCAAGAGTGACCCATGGTGTATGTTTTTATGGTAAGGTGCCAGCAAAACGTATCATAGTGTTCGGGCTCAGGTAAAATAATATTGCCACAGCAATTTACCCCAATTCATACTGTTTGAGGAGCTGGCTAATGGATTGTTGTTGTGCTTTCAAGAAATGCCATAATCCCGTAACTCAGAGATTTGCCTTTTCTCACAGTGTGAGAGTGGCCGTAGTTTGTTTCAAAGGTGCACTGCTGAGGCGCACAGAGCTTCCAGGTCCCCCTTGCTCCAGCAGAAGATACTGGTGGGGGAGTGTTAGAAATTACTCATTTCCTTAAGCAGGAGAAAGTGCAGTGCTGCAGGAGTAGGAGGTTACATCTGAACTTCTGTGGAAAATGGATCTGTTGGTACCATACAGCAAACTAGAAGCATTTATAACCTTGGATGTACAGTATGTGGTCTGGTCTTGATTGGAGACTGGAAGCTTTTTCAGTACTGAGCATGGGCAATTCAGGAGCTGACCTTTTTTTGGTCTCTTTTGGGCTCTTTTTTTGTCTCCTCTGCGGCGCTGTGTTCTTATGCACACATTTACACACACAGCAACTACAGGGAAGGTGTTTAGAGTAATATCAGTGCATGAGTGCACCCATTATTAACTTTCACGTTGTAAAAGAGTTATGGAAGGGAGTTTACAAGGGATTTCCAGTTCAGGTTAACTATTAAAATGTAAGTTTAATTACATACATTATTCACTTAAGCTTCAGTGTAGGCTGGTCGCAGGCACAAGGAAAGGTGATCCACCCTCCTCAAGCATCTTGCAGGACTTCTGTGTGTAAGCAGCAGCTCAGATTTTCTTTACACCAGAAGTTTGTACTGACTAAACCCTTTTAAACAATCACTCATTATAGAAACCATAGCATTACTTTGATTTAAGCAAGGGTTGGGTTTGTTTTTTTCATTAGCTTAAGATAACTAAGAAGATTCAAGCTAGCTCTTTATGATCCTGACACTGACTTATACCACTGATAGTATCCTGGTTATTCCAACTCCTCTTTATTGCCTCTTGAGCAAGTGTGGAGGGTCAGATCACAGTGGCATTCCCACGTCGCCTGCAGACTGGGACTGCCTGCCTGCACCCTCTAGGCAGGCACTGCTGTCTGCGATAGCAAGGAAAGGCAGCTGGTCAACGCAGCAGGGCCAAAACTTGTTTTCTGGAGAAGGCAGTTGTCCCTCACTACAAGGAAGATCCCAAGCAGGTTAAAAGATCACCACTAGGATGTTTTACGTAGGTGCAGTTCTACTACATGGGCAATAGCTTAAATCCTCACAACCTGTCCCCCTAAGCTTTTGTTAAAAAAGCTTGCTCTCATTTCTTTGAGGAATAATCATGGACCTGTTAAGCTGGAAAGAGAAAACCTCCCCCTCGTTTAGAAAGGAGTGCCAGAGAGAAGGAGAGAGAGCGCGCTGGCTTCTAGGAGAGATATTTAGTCATTCTTCTCTGAGAAGGCTGGCAGGGAACATTGCAAAGTTCATTTCCGAATCAGAAGAGCGTGTAAAGACTGCTTGTTTTATTCACTACATTAATCGTACTTCACATATTACTCATAATATTAAAATACCCAAGTCGCTTCACTGTATACCAGCGACATTTAGCTGCCAATTTTCAAATAATCATAAATTGAGTGTATCTGTTTGAGCCAGCCAAAATAAGCTGGGTTAGATCATGAGTGTATGTCTGTGCACGTGGGTGTAGGGGGGAAAGAGGGACCAATGTGATGGGGGGGGGGAGTGCTTCATGCTTTGGAAGCGTCCTCAAAGGAGCAAAAGAGAGAAGAGGATAATGATTCCTATTTTGATCTGCTTATATCTTTCTCCACAGCGGGTCACGTCCTTCAGCTGCCACTTTTAATTTCCTCTTCCCACAGATGAACGTGGCTGAGCTTTTCTAGCAGCGCATATCTTTGCTGTTCAGCGTTGTCGTGTCTCTGCGTTTCAGTGACTGGTGGCAGGTTTACCTTCCAGCCCAGTCCTCTGCTCCCAGCAAGCATTGAAAGGGCTTGTCTTAGCAGGGACCTGGGGAGGTTTAACGTGAGCACGTGAGGTCCCTGCACACGCTCCACTGCCGCCTGGCATAGTGCCTGCAGTGACATCCCCTTGCAGTGGGAGCAGCCCTTTGTGGCTGGATCCGGCCCCGAGCCAACCGAGCTTGCCCACTAGTAGGAATCAGGCTTTTTCCTGCTGGAGACCTTACGAACAGATACCCCTTTAGCTCTTCTTCACAATACAGGGCAAACCCAAATCCTGGTATATCTAGGTTTGGCAAATCTGGTCCTGGTTTTGCTTTCCAGAGCTCTGAAGCTGGTTGCTGCTCCATTGCACCAGACTCCAGCGCAGTGCAAGCAGGGGGAGGTCAGCTGCAAAGCTCTGAAAAATGATGTTGCAGAGTCACTGTAAAACCAGATCCCCAGGAGGGATCTGCATGCTGCAGCTTCTGATCCTCAGAACATCTTTTCTGTACTTGTTCTAGGGGTGTGATTTAAGTCAGTGACCCCCAAATACACCTCCTGAGCACCTCCATGGCTCGCTGTTCCTATTCCTTGCTCCTGCTGAGTACAGGCTGGGAGGCGGTATGCAGAATGAGAGCCAGCCAGGGAGACAGTGCAGAGCAGGACGACTTCTGCCTTAAGATGTCATCTCCCCTTCTCAGGTGCAACATTGAATGGCAAGAGGCAAACACCAAAGTCTGTATTTTCCCTTTGTGATCAGGAGGATTGTGAGGGATGAAAAAAAAAGCAGTGACAATGATGGCATGTTATACTGCTATTGATAATTACACTCATTGCTTTTGTTATGATTTTCATAAATGTATCTTAAAACACCATTTAGTGGTCATGTCATCATCTTTATTTTACACATGGGGCAACTGAAGCAGACAGAAGTGAAATAACTTGCAGTCTCTGCCAGTGGTGGGAAAGGTAATTTCAGTAAAAGCAGTTGTAGTCGAAACTGAGTAGCAGTAGTATGAGCAGTGGAGCCGATAAAGGTTGCTTTCTTGTGTGTGTCAGGAAGCTAAAGCATCTGCGTGCATGTTGAATAAAGGCTGAGCTCACCCTGCAGTATGTTCTTGATCACTAAAATATGCTCCTTCTATCCCAACTGAATCCTAAAAGACCTTAATGTTTTGGGGACTTCCATTCCATAGTTAAAGGTAGTAGAAATTGCGAAGCGGTTCCAAGAGTGGAGAAGTGGGGATGAGCTGGCAGACGGAGGGAGCGTATGAGTCTTCCTTCCTTTTGAAGTCAAAGCCATGAGGCTATAAAAGGTGGCACTGGGTTAGGGAAGGGGAAGGAGACTTCTACTAATACTGGAACAGGTTTGGTCTCACCTCTCACTGGCATTTCTTTACCTTTGTCCTCAGAACTAAGCTCAGTGATTTAGGCTGATGTGTCATCATGCTAATTGTGTCAGGTGTATTTCAGGACTTCATCTTGAAGCACATACTCATTTCAGTAACCCTTTCAGGTGCAGTCTTGTTAAGTTTGTGGGACTAGTAAGCATCCCTGCTAAGCATGTGGATTGCCATGTGTCTGCAGTACCTGGCAAGTTTTTGCCATTCAGTGTCCTAGAATTTCTGGGGCTGGTGGCCATGCACCCCAGGGACAGATAGCATTAGGTATGTGACTTTCTGTTGAGCTAGAGAATTTTGTGGTCTCAATCCTGTCTTTGTTTGTGTCTGTTTGCAGCAGAAAGTCACCGCCTCTAAGCAACATCTGTTTGCAGAACAGTTACAAATGGCATTGAAAATGAAAAGGGAGCATTTTTGTAGGACGCACGGTCTGCCAATGCCTAATGCATTGCTACCTCTCTCACTGTTTGCCTTAGAAACTCTAGACTTTCTGTTCTTTCAGCGCAGCTTTGGTTTTCCTGTAGCTGGAGCAAAAGTGTAAATCTTTGAGAAATGAGTACGTGGTAATAGGAAGCAGTCTTTGTAACCAATTGCCCCTTTTGTTTCATTTTTGAAAATGAATGAGAGATTGGTTAAATTGACCTAAAATTCATAATTGTCCAGTGTTTCTTTTTTTCTTTTTTTTTTTTTTTAAGAACTAACCATTCTTGACATTCCATTCAGTAAAGGAATGCAATATTTGTAGGTTAAACTTCAGGTTAAATGCTGACTTGTTGATAAAGAAATCAAGTAACCATAGCTCAGACAAACATACTCCAACAATGCCGGGAATATAATAATTTATCTCATAGTAACGCTGTTAATTGTGGTGAGCCATAGAGACAAAAATATACTTAAAAATACTTCAAATATACTTAATATATAAATATATTGAAAGTTATACTTAATATACTTAAAAGATATAAGCCTAAGTTTTCTGAAATTACTGATTTGAGATGTGCAACTGTTGAAGTTACTGAGTTGGAACAAAGCAAAAAGAACTGATTTTCAAAGATGTCATCTATTTTCTAGGCAATAATTCCCTTTAAGGCATCTGGGATGGGATACCAGATGTCATCTATGACTTTTAAAAAGGTCCTTCAGTGTCTAGACAGAGATGTTTGGCGTATTGTGGAAGCGATACCCTTTTAAAATGTGATCGGATGCTAATGACTCCTAATGTGCTCTTTCAGTATCCACAATGGAGTAATAGCGGTGTTCCAGCGTAAGGGTCTCCCGGACCATGAACTTTACAACCTCAATGAAGGAGTCAGGTAAGAGACTCAACGCAAGGTGTTATTAGCCAGCGTGCACAGTACTGTTTGCTAGCACTCGCGCTTGAAACTTCTACAGTGGTATTGCAGGTGGTTTTTTTCCCAGTGGTAGTTTCAACCAGTACCCTCAATTTGGCCTCAGTGAATAACTGTTGCTGATGTGTGTCAACACCTTGCTGTGTAGCGAAAGCTGGGTTCCTCTTTCTGCAGAGGAGATATTTAGCTGTGAGAAGGGTGGATTATTTCAGAGTCTGTCTTGACGTACTGGATTGAAACTAAGGAAGGGAATACCTGGAGCCCTCTAGTAATGCAGCCCTATAACACTGCAATGATGCTGCCCTTTCTGTAGGTGCCAGGCCTAGCTCTGAGGTGCTTCCCCTGCATCCATGGAGGATGCAAAGCCTCCAAGCCCTCAGTGTGACACGGCAAGGCAAGATGTCCTGGCTGCTCCTTCCGGACAGGCTGAATATGCCGTAGTTGTTACAAAGCTGTCTTGTCAGCACAATGACCTGAGTAACGCAGTTTACGGTTCCTATTTCTTTCTCTTACTGTGATGATACTGTTCACAACAGACTAAATATAGACCAGTGAGATGTATAATGGGAACTTTTTTCCTAAAAAAAAAAAAAAAAAAAAGAAAGTGAAAATCCTACCATTAGAGTTATTCAAGTTACAGTTGCAAAGACAAATTTACCAAGAGATAAGCTGATATGTGGATGTACTTTTTCTAGCACTTACTATTAGTTACTAAACCCCTCTCTCACTGACAAGGGCAAGGTAGCAGATTTCCTTTTAGAAATTTGTCCCAACGCTTTGAAGAAGAAACGGTGGAAAAGAAGCTGCACTTTACAAATGACAGACAGCTTATTACATTCCCTGGCTGTCTTCAGATAAGAGCCTCAGTAATTCCTTTCCCTTACTGCTTATTCCCACTCTATCCGGTCACTGGAGTCTGAAAAAATCCACAGAATATCTACATATTCTGGGATTATCTGTCCCTATCTGGTTCCCAGTCTGGGATAGCTGGCCCAGTCTGGTTCCTTTAATTGTGGAAATATCTTCAGAGAAGTCCAGGTGAATGACATTTGGCCTGTGATCTCTCTTTTTCCCTCTCTCTGTCTCTCTGTGTCTTTTTGAAATGAAAAGAATTCTCCAGTTATTTCTTACTTCTCTGGGGACAAAATGACATATAAAGAATAGCTTTTCTAGGATGGTTGTCAGTTAGGATGATCCATCAATCATTTTGAGTTAGTTATTGTAATAATAGTTGATCATTGTTACTGTAAGTGCAGTTAGGATTCTTCAGCTTTATCTGAATGACAAAAAATGGTATTTCTGGGCTGAGATTTCCTGGCCCAATGCATTTGCCTCAGGATGCTCATCTGTTGGTGATGGACAGAAGAGGAAAAATTATCTGCTGATGTGACAAACAGAATCTTGTATGAACCAACAAATAGAAGATGGATGGATGGATGTTATTTGATGAATTGTGCCCAGATTTTACTTTGATTTACCTGGGTATAAACCCTACACCATGATGATGCTTGCTAATATAGTTGTGTTGAATTTATTGCAACGTCCCAGGCAGCTGAACAGGCAAGCTGACTACAAATATATTGATTTTTTTTTTTTTTTCCATTTTATGATGGGCTTTACTGCCCATTTCTTTTTGTTAGGGTAAGCATAATGCTGCTTTGTTGTTATCTCAGCTGATCGCTCAGTTTTCCTCTGCTTCAGGGAGGCCAACGCTTGGTGACTCATACCTGAGCTGATGGACAAATATTGTGAAATCTAGACTGAGCTAGAAAGTTGCTGTCGTAAGTGAGGCATCAGCAGCGTAACTCTCGTGGGATGAGTGAGCATTTGGTGAGATGCAGCGTGGCTTTCGAGTCTGGTTCTTGTCTACTTCTGCTTTGAGGTTGTTCCCTCTTGCCTCTGACTTGGCCTGAACAGCCTTCTAATTTATTGCCAAAAGCTGTCCATCCTCTTGGTAATCACTCTGAGTTTTTGTGAAGCTTCTCGTGTGCGACCTGCTTGCTTTGCTCATAGAAAAAGCCAAGAAGAGAAAAATGCGAGGGAGCGAGGAGGATACAACAGCTGAAAGATCTGTCTCCAGAGGAGAGCATGGTAGTGGTAGTTTTTTAACATGCCTATTCACACGTCCAGCCACAGCCTTTTTCCAGAAGCAACTGCAGTCCTGCTGTGCACTTCATTTTACTGCTGCCCACAGTCAATAATGGTTTAGGGCTGCCTGACTATTTGCAGCCAAAGCCCTTTTGCCTTAAATTGAGCTCAAAACCTAACTAAGAAATTACTGATTTGACACATACCAAAAATATCTGGCTTACTACGATTGTTATTTTATTCAAAATAACTTTCTTTGGGTTAATGTTATTACTGAATGCAAAAATATCTGATTCATAAACATGACCTCAGAAGTGGAACGGGTGTATATTTCTCGTATGATTATTTTCACCGCAAGTACATAAATACAAAGAAACAAATAGCCATTTTTTCCACTGGGCAGAATTTGAGTGTGGAAGTGTTCAGGTAAATGGCTAGTATCAGTAACTTTTTTTTCAGCAGTTATAGGACAGTAAAAGAAGTTATTTTATGACTTTAATTAGAGCAGATTCCGGGATACTTTTTGTAATTAAACATTGAATATCCAAGTTGACTCACAGACCAAGTGTACATATTTGAACAGTTACATTACGCCCACAATATTTGCGCACCATCATTTTGTCTCAGGAATATCACGTATTTTCAACTACTGTATGTCACATATGTGCAAATAAATACGTATAACTTCCTTTTCTGAAGACACATCTCAAGGCTTTGAACCCTGATTATGTATGCACTGATTATTTAAGAAAATATCAGTGAGTACAAATTTGCACAGTACCATTTACTTTTCTTCTAAGCTTTGACTCATAAAAGCTGCCACTCATTTACACCAATGCCATTTGACACCATTCTTGCAATCCTCTGGCACTAGAGAATGGCCTTAAATATGGAGTACGTAGCACTCAGAAGCCCTACTACTACTAAAATCAGTGTGTGACTTCAGTCTCTTTCATATTGCTTTAACTCGTGAATAACTCAGCAGAAGCTAATGAAGCAAGGTGGTAAGAGGATACCCTAGTAACTGGGAGTATCACACGTGTATGTGCTGTACATTACTTCTTCTGAGCCCTTACTAGGTGATTTAATAGGGGATTGACTCAAAAGTCAGGTAATAAAAATCTGTATGCATATACTTACTGTTTAGTATTTCTCTTGATGTATGTGTGTGATACTAGTGATCATATGGTGCTTTTTTTCCTTTTTCATTTCATGCACCGTATGTCATTTCAAAGCGTTTATTTACACCACTTGTAAATCAAGGAAGAAAAAGAAGGAAAGGGAAACACAGTGGAAGCAGGATGTCCTGTATTAAAGCTAATACATATTTATAGCTGCCTCTTTTCTGAGTTTCAGGATACTGATTTGATGCAAACAAAGCACATTTTAGTGGTACTTCCTCTTTTGTAGCAAGAGTTCAAATCCAGTAAAGTCACTTGTTTCCATTTGCTTCATTTAACTTTATTTAACAGATATTAGACAGTGTTAGACTTTCCATTCTCTGTAATGTTGCAAGAGTTAATTTCAAAATGAACCAAAGAAGTGGCAGCAGGAGGATACAAAAAAACTCAGGAGCTATTTTAGCATATTTTATGTGAATTTATATAATCATCCTTATTTATCAAGTCATTAAACAGGCAATGGTATCAGTGATGTACAAGCTTCATAAGAGTGCAAAATGACTGGCTTCAAAATCAGATGCACTTGAAATGAGGTCTGCTATCTGATCAGGAGTATCTTTTAGATTTAATCAGATTTTTACCCAGATTCCACCATGATGTGCACGTATCTAGATAAGGTTATTCAGTAATCTGAATTATCCAGGATCTGACAGGTGACAACCTAACTGATTTTTGTTAAAGGAAATTAAGCAAGGATGAAAAAAAAAATTGCAAGCGATGTCTTGGATCCAGTTTTGTTGTAGATCCCTCTTAAATGAAAATGGGTACAGAGAACATCAAACACCAGTGTTCTGATGTGGCCTGAGGGCCTCACTGTTTCACAAGAAATTAATTAAGCAGTGTGAAGTATCTGTATTATTAGGGATTCAAAGAGCAAGATGCAATTGTGCTGTCAGTTCTTCTTCCACCCTGTAAACAGGGATGCTAATGTAGCCGTAGTGCTGCTTGGTGTGATGCAGTTCAGTGCATATAATTAACTACAGGCTGGTTGTCTAGTTCATTCACAGCTGAAAAAATGGAAATATGGTGGGATTTTGTTTTGTCAGAGGGTTAGTTATTGCATAAGTAGAGCATCGTTTTGTGTTTCCTGCCCTAAATGCCAGGAATTATCAGTAAAACCTAAAATATGAAAAAAGAAGGTATTTGCAAATCACCTGTTCAAGACTATGAGGAACCCAGGATAGACGTCAAAGGGCTGCTACCTTGAGGAGAGGGTAGAAAATTAAGCATAACCTGTCAGCATAAAGTATCGGTATTTTTTTGAAACAGTGGCACAAAGAGATATCTGGGAATAAATTGTCTCTATCACAGGAGAATTCAAATCTGCAACTTTCTTGTAATTTTAACCTAAAAATGGTTTATCTACCCATGGTCAAAGTAAGAAAAACCTTGAGAGCCATCACTTGCGATCCAGAAAAAATCACACCACTTGGATAGTAAATTCCTACTTTGAGAGAGCATGGCATGATTTGGCTATAGCATCCTCGTACTCGTTGACGTACTCTTAAGGCTTCAAACCCACCTCCTCCAAAGACTGTTAAATCCCTGCTAAGGGCTTGGTATTCAGTGGGTACCATTGAGGATGGAGTCTCAGGGCACTGCAAGGGTTTTCCTCTCCCATATGTTGCAACAGCATGCCAAGGGGGCTAGCCATACAATGGCCATTCATGGCAGTGAAACACCTATGGCTAAAGCCCGAGCTGGCTTTGAAAATTTTTGTCCATAGATAGTTTGTCTGAGTTAATCAGGTTTCTAGCAGAAAAGGATTCTGATGCTTAGGAGCATCTGAAAAAACCCTTCCTTTTGTTTATTTTCTACTTCATTTATGGCTAGAGTGTTTCCGCAGGGTGCTATGAAGTCAGTGTGGACATGTGCTTAAGGATAAATAAATAAGAGACTGTATTTCGGCCTCCTAAAGGTTGACCTCCTCCCCCTCCTCTCCCTGAACTTTCCGAAGATCTCAAGAGGTTGTGCTGAAGCATGTGGTGTTAAAAACATGAGATCCAAATCCTGCAGAGTTTTTCATGGAGCGTAGGGATATGCTGGACTTCTTAAACCAGACGTGTATTTGTTTACTAGTTAAATAATTTGATTAATTAGTTATTTGTTAGTTAAAAACATAACCCAAATGGAGAGATGATAACATGCTACTGAATATATAATTTACCTAATGCCCTAGTTGAGGTGGATGTTTAGATTTTAAGTCAAATTTGACCTAATTTCTTCATGGGACCTGAGGTGGTCACACAGAGACAGGTTTTCGAAAGAGTTCCAGGCCAGATTTGCATGTGTTCAGAAAGCCCAGCTGGGCCTACATTTTTATAAGGTCTGAGCTCTCATTTATGCATCTAAACAGCAAACTACGTGCAGAGAATTATACCTAGCATCCAATGTGTGACACTGCAATGACTTACAGCTTTTTAGCAATGTATGGTGAGTTTTACCTGGATACAAATGTTGGGCTTGCGGATCAGGTTCAATTCTGTTTCTGAATTTGAGGGTTGTTCCTGGGAATTTTTTTGCAGTGAGTTTGGTTTGCTCTCTGAGATTACTTTGTAGGTTTTAGTGTAGAGGAATCATGAAAGGCAGAGCTAAACTATTAAATTCCTACCTCCTCTTTTACTGAAACCGTATGAAACTTCAGCTGTCATGAGTCTCCTGAGTGGAAGATCCTTTTAATGAAAACTGGCCAAGTTTCATACCTGCAATGAAACCCCACAGAATATCATCCTGCTTCAGGTTTCTCTCTGAACATTTTGTCACAGCTCTTTTTTTCAACCTTATGCAGGACAGGGATGCTTTGGCTCTGAACACGTCAGCCAAGTCACATGCTTGTTTTTTGGCTCAGACCCATGGATGGGCAGAGGGTGCTGGGAGTTCTCCCACGTCTGCAATGCCAGGCCCCAGTGAAGCCCTGCCGCAGCAGGAGAACAACTCGAGCATTTTTAAAAGGGTTAGATGTAGGATGGAAAGCATCCTCTTTTTATCTTTTTTCCTTTCATATGTATTCATGCAACTGAGCCATCTGAAAGCACAGCAGATATTTTTCAACACACAGAAATGCTGGTTGGGAGTCTTAATATTGTTGACCTTCTTTGTTCTATTTGTAGTTAGGCATTATTGACAGGCTGTGTTCTCATATGAAAATAAATTGCTATTAGTGACTTCCTCTTTTCCATGCAGTGCACAGCTAATACGATTTGCTGATTACACAGATCCTTTTCTTATTCTTTTTAATACAGGCAATTATTGAAAACAGAACTGGGATCCTTTTTCACTGAATATCTACAGGTAGGCATGTATTTTCTTTCATTTAAATCAGATTTTGTTATATGCTACTGAGCAAAATCACTTCACCCACTCTAAATGCTGATCTGGAGTCCCCGGAAACCAGAGATGTCCACTGACTTCTCTGTGTTCTGTCATTTATGGACTAATGAGATTTGGATTTTATATCTAGTTAGTTTGTTAGTTAGTGAAAGCCCAAGCCACGGAATAGATTTGTGCAATCCCTGTGTTTCTGTATGACATTGCTATCTTTCAGTAGACTTCAGACATTCTCTTTTAACTTAAAATTTGAGTTCCTGAGTAAACCAGTTAAGTTCATTGTAGTATAGTTAATAGGAACGACATTTAGCAGTAAGTGCACACCGTCTATTGAAGCAGTATTCCTTCTGCTTCTCTGAGAGAGAGTACATACTTTTGGGTCAGACTTTGGAAGTTTGAGAAGCACTTTGTATCGCACAGAATATGTGCTGTATCCTGAAAGCACAGGATACAGGTGCTTATATCATCATTTGACAAATGGCCCAAGGGATATAAGAAAGATGGACACAGGAGGAGTCCTTTGATGATTGATCATTAAAATAAATGACCCCCTTTGTTGTCAAATGTTAAGAATGAACAAAATGTGAAATACGATGGCTGTAGGGAAGTACAGAATTGAATAAAGTTAGTCTATATTTTATTTACAGAATCAGCTGCTCACAAAAGGCATGGTGATCCTAAGGGACAAGATCCGGTTTTATGAAGGTAACTTGGATTTTAGCATGGTTATCTATGTCTGTCACAGGAGTTTTGGCAAATGCAGTCTGGAGGCGGTGTGATGCTTTCCACTCTCTTCCTGGGACTATTGATTAGCTTGTATCAATTCATTCCTGCAGTCTGCTGTGTCCTGCCTTGCTGTTCCCATTGGCTTTCATCAAGCAGAGGTGATTGGCAAGAGCAGCAGTGAGGGAGTAAAGGAAAGATTACCTCCAGCATGGATGCTTCCTTCTCCTTCCATTATAGCCTGCTCAGTGTTAAGGAAAAGTGGAAAAATAGAGTGAGATATATTAATAAACAAAAACCTAAGCACTAAGATCCCAGTTAGTTGAAGTGGCTGGCTAAGTCCAAAATAATGTTGTAGGTTGTTTTAAGCATTATTTTGGATTCATGCTTACATAAACGAGATCAGACACTGTCTCTTTTTTTACAGTCAAGGCTCCATTTGTCTGTCTTCACCTTCTGGAGGTGTCACCTTCTGGAAGTAAAAATCAAGGATAACCTCCACCTGATATGTCATTTTACAGTCACCTTCATTTTGTGTCCTATGCTACTGTGTGGCATTTCAATGTGCTGTTAAATATGCTGCTTTGTCCTAGATGTAGGCGTATGCCATCAGAGGATGAAATGGTTTCAGAATATCTTCCAAAATTATTGCCCATGTAAACAGTCTGAAGATCTTTGGGGAATCTTGGGGCAATTTTAAAGAAATGCATCTCTCCTTTTCCAAAGCTGCAGTCATAATACCACTTAGTCAAAATATATTGTTTAAGCAGTAGCCTGGAGACAACCATTTCCATTAGTTTCAGCTATCTAGAAATCCTAAATGTGACCTTTGATTACTGACAGTACAACTGATCAGATTAGTTGGTGCTATGGGACCCAGCTTTTCTGATCCAAAGATAGTAGCCCTGAACAGCTCAAAAAGAACAAATTTCACGTTAAAGAAATACCCCCCAAAAGTACCCAAACTCTTCTAAACTGAACACAGAATTCCTCACTTACGTAAAATAACAGCTTGGAGAGCACAAGGAGAACTGTAAGGATCTTGAGGCCTTCATAGCTGTTTGTAAATCACAAAGGAAGTTGGCTTTTTAAGTATTAAATGGGCAAATTGGATGCAGAGACCTACCAAAGTCCAACCCCTTTTTCTTCTGCTTTTACTAGCTTGAAAATCAAAAATACTATCTCTGATGTTTGAGATCAAAGCTGAGAAGAAGAATTGAAATGTGAGACCATTAAGTGGCTTTCAAATGTAGGATCATGTTTAGCAAATACAAAATTTCAGCAAGCAGTTAAGTTTATTTTGGTTTTGAATTTGGTGTATCATTTTGTGGTTGCCCCTTAAAATATGGTCAGAAATGCTGGTAAGGTGAGGATTAAATCAGTCATGTTTTTTCCAAGTCTGTCCTTGGAAATGTCAGCTCACTAAAACTGGCAAGTTATGGGAGGGTAGCTGTAATTTAGGAATCTCATTCAGATGCAGAGGTCTTTCTGATAGACAGCTTTCTGTTAGCTTGCCTGGGAAGCTGCTGATGGATGTGAGTTTCCAAGGCTGGAATTTGGGTTTCCTGGCAGCAGCCCCCCAGAGTCCATCCTGTAGTCAGTGACCCCGTGGCTCCCAAAACACCTGAGGCAAAGTTGGGAGCACAGAAATCTTGGGAGCTCCTATTCTGAGCAGGGCTTCCTTCCTGGGTCTGCAATGGCAGCGGTCCTGCCCCTCAAATCTCAGGTTGTCCCTCATCCCATGCTTTGAGTTTCCCGATCCAGTTGGTGTTGAAGTTGTCAAGAGAGGAAAAAGATCACTTCAGAACACACTTTGGAGGGATTTTGTCCTGCAGGGGGTTTTGAAAATTTTAGCTTTTGTTTTGAAATGATGATATTCTTGTATTTATTTCAGGAGTTTCAATTTTAGAAGCTTTTAGAAGCACTGTGAAAAGTACTACATGCATTTTTATGTCATACAAAATTGACTATATTGTGCTTCATTAAAATGAGCACTTAGAGTAACCCAGCTTCCTGGAATCTGGCAAATGCTTATGGTAAACGTAGAGATCTTTGCCTGATAGTAAACCAAACATATTCTTGAAAGGACACGGAAGTCATGTTCTTCCGTGTGAAAGATCCTTGTGATCAACACACCGTAGGAGCTCTTCCACAGCCCCCAGTAAAAGGCCTCCCTGGCAAAAGGCAGTTAAGTCTGCAGCTTTTCTGAGCTGCTGTACAGAAATTCATCACTTCACTAAACAAGCTGCCCACAAGATGAAAGGAGTGTGCGACGGTAAAGGCATGTTTATCTCAACAGGGCAATTTGACTTCATGCAATTCTAGCAGCAAGTTTTCAAAAGGACCAATGTTCAGCACCCACATTTGGAGCCAAATTTGCAAGGGCTTGGTTTCTACTTAACCTCAACTTGTGGGCAGCTAATGTATTTAACTCTTTAAAACTCTGCCCTCAAGGCCAAGAGTGGTTACGCTTCTCCTTCATGATCAGATTTATATCTTTGAAACACTAGTGTTTCAGACACTAGTATATGGAGGTTATAATACAATGGTATTTATTATTATTATTATTATTACTGCTATAGCTGCTAGGAAATTTTGGACCTGGTTCTCTGCTGTATTTCACTAGAACTAATGCAAGACAAATTTTTGAAAAATTGAAACCGAGAACACCCTTTTAAGTCTTGTACATGAGTGTGTAGGACAGAGAGAACTCCTGCCTGGTGCTGCAGAAACAAAGACCTTGGCGTGGTTCACAAGGCAGCAGCTGCAGTATAGCACCATGATCTACATTTGTCACTGAAAGCACTTAAAGTCATGAACCCAGGAATAATGCAGGAGTTGCAGATGGGCCAGACCTGGTGCTATTTGTCATGTGCTTAAAAATGCGGGGAGATCAAGTATCCTATGATAAAGATTGGCACTTGGCTGACTCAGGGTGTAGATGCTTTCATACAGAGTTTCTTTGCGATGTGTGTGCAATTCTGGGCAAAATGTTCCCTGGCTGAGGCCCTAAGTAATGCTGTATTACAAAAATTAAGAATAGTATCTGATTCTGACACCAGTAGTAATATTGATTGATTGCTATTGAATTTACTTCTTGATAAATCCTATTGTCTTGTCTGAATGCCTCATAATCATTGATGTATTTATCTCCATAATACTTGCTGGTGGACGTGCAGTGGCATTGCTCTCCTTTCACAATTGGCTTAGGGGTACAGGGATGCTTGAAGGCTTGCCCAAGGTCACCCAGGCTGCTGTGGGGAACAGGGACTTGAAGCCAGCATCCAGCTATCGAGCCAGACTTCCTCTCCTGTAGATCTCAGCTCCTGCATTTGCCTGTGTTTTACAAAATGTTCTGTGGGGAACTCCATGTCCAACTTGGTTGTAGGACCTGGCCAGAACTTCTCTGATCTCCACTGTGGAGGCTTTCAGGTGGCTGCAGCTGGGGAGGGAATAGGGAGGTGGCCGCACTGTGAGGACCACGGGGAACTCACATCATAGCAGATTTTGACTGCATCCTTTGAAAGTTTCAGGAAAAAGTAGAACCGCAACACCATTCTCTTTTTCCATAGATCTTGCGTGAGATTTTCTATGTAAGTGAAGATGCAGGGAAGCTAAGGGATCAATCTGAGCAGATGCTTTGTGAAGGATATCCACAGAGCACAGTTTGCTGGCTTATGGCTTAGAGGGAAGAGGGGAGCATGGGGCAGGGGATTCCTCTGCAGGAATGTTTCCACGTTTAACCTTCTGCGTCCTCCTCCTACTGTTCTCTGCAGTCTTGTCTAGTAGGTATTACTGCGAGAAGAGGAGGAGGTAACCTGAGCTATTATTCTTTATTCTTTGAGGGGTTTTTCTGAGTAAGCTTTAACCTCAAAGTCTCTGAGTTTACTAAGAACCTTAGATGTCTCATCTGAAAAGACACAAATACTGAATGATCCAATACAGTGAAAGGAATACTAATTCCATACTGCTAATAGTAGCTGTTACATGATTCATCTTTGTGTATAATAGCAGATCCACATTGTTTCCTGCATGTTTTAGTCTTTGCAGTTACCTAATTACAACCTAAACGGTTCACTGGTTTGTTGTGTGTTTTTTGCAGGGCAGAAACTACTGGATACCTTAGCTGAAACCTGGGATTTTTTCTTCAGTGATGTCCTGCCCATGCTTCAGGCTATTTTCTATCCTGTGCAGGTGAAAAATTACTCTGTTACTATAGAATCTTGAAAAACCGGAAAAAGCAACTTTACTGGTTCATCAACAGATTGATGCAATCCTTAACTCTCTCTCCTTGGGCCAACCTCCCAGTGCAGCTATTCTGTATAGTCATGTCATGCAAATAAGTTACTTATGCAAACAGGGGTTTGAAGTGCTTTGGTGGAAAAGATGAAGGGGAACTGTGAAAAAAGGAGTGGAGTGCAGGGAGGATAGTTAGTCCTTATGACAACTCACACTAAAAGTCAAAAAAAGGTTATGAACAATAAACTGAAGTATGCACACAGTGAAATAAGTGGAGCCGCGTTGACTTCAATATGTACATTTCCTTCTCTGTGATGTGAATTCCTCTCTGAAGTATCTCCACTTTTGAAAAGGAATTCTATTTCCGAGGTCAAATTCTATGCTACTATAAATGAACAGCAATAGTCAGTGGAGTTAGACCAGTTTACATGAGCACAGAATTTGACTCCAGTAATTTTAAATCCACAATAGGTACTTGATCTGATTTGGATGAGGCTCACGCTTCTTAGTGGTGGCCACAGAGAGTTGTTTATCACTTAAGTCCCAAGGAAATCTGTACCAGAGAGGTGTAAGTGACCTTGGAGTTGCTCTTAGATGCCTACAGATTTCATTGGGAGTTTGGTGCCTAAACATATTTGGGGATACTTTGGAAACTTTCTACCATTTTTCCAAGTGGACTTCATGCTTAAAATGATTGTCCAAATGTTACAGATACTTCCATTTGCATCTGCAGCTAATTGCAGGCATGAAATCTGAATTCAGCTGAAAAGCTGCAACTTTACACAGAATTTGATTCTGAAAGAGAAGAGCTCTAAAAACATCCAGGGCTACTTCACCCATTGACTTGTGTCTTACCAGTAGAAACTTTAAAATGATAGACATAATATGGTATTAAAACCCTATTAGAACACGATGGGAGATTTTTCTAAGTGCCACATAATTTAAATCCAAGGCATTTGGGAACCTAGAGATATAGGTAGGCTCTGAACCTGGTTTCCCATGCTGACTTTACTAAATTAGAACTCATTCAGCTGTTTTTGAAAGTTGCATGCAATGCCCCTTTTCACTGTTATGTTCCTGAGGCCTTGGAAAATAATTCAGCAGCACAAGTCTCCTCACCTTTCAGATGGAAATGATTGCTTGAATTTTCAAAGGAACCTAGAGGGGGTAAGAACCCCAGGTCCCATGTAATTTCAAATAGATCTAGGTGCCTGATGTTTTGAGGTTACTTCCAAAAGCCCAGCTGGTCCTTATGTGCTCTTGTAAATTCTATTTATTAGCAGTTGAAGCAGATTTGGGGCCTTCTTTACTTCAGTATGAATAATTAACAAAGTGAAAAGGAATGGGTGGGGTGGGGTTGGGTCAGGCTTCTTTATTCCGAACTAAGATAAGTCAATACCAGCTCGATACCAGACCTTCCAGAAATGTTAATTTTTGGCTGTCAGCACTCATAACTGCAGGCAAGATTATTATGTACAGCTATATATACCCAAGGAAAAAGCCCTGATGCTAGAAATGGGAACAGTTTTACAACTCCTCATAAGGCAAGCAGTGTTAAACTCTGCAGGCAGAGCTAGCATTGTATTCATAGAATCATAGAATGGTTTGGGTTGGAAGGGCCCTTAAAGATCATCTAGTTCCAACCCCCCTGCTACAGGCAGGGACGCCCTCCACTAGACCACGTTGCCCAAAGCCTCACCCAACCTGGCCTTAAACACTTCCAGGGATGGGACAGCCACACCTTCTCTGGGCAACCTGGTCCAGTGCCTCACCACTCTCACAGTGAAGAATTTCTTTCTAACATCTAATCCAAATCGACCCTCCTTCAGCTTAAACCCATTACCCCTTGTCCTGTCACTACACTCCCTGATAAACAGTCCCTCTCCAGCTTTCCCGTAGGCCCCCTTCAAGTACTGATAAGCTGCAATTAGATCTCCCTTTTCTCCAGGCTGAACAATCCCAACTCTCTCAGCCTGTCCTCACAGGAGAGGTGCTCCAGCCCTCTGATCG